GAAAGAGTTGCTGAGTCAAAATGTTATGTACCAAGCAGGAAGCTTGCACTGAAAGTGACTGCTTCCTCTTGCCTGTTAGAAATAACAGCTCTTAACCCATTTTTTCCAGTTTTATTGAGGCTTTTATATAACGAGTCCTCTTTTTTTTGCAAAAGCTGTATGCATTGGCACACTAAATTCTGGATCGAGTGATCAGTTTGTGTATTTCACATGCCTAGGAAACAGACACGCTTCCTTCTGAGTATTTCTTGGGTAAAGAAAAAGGAGAATAATGAAGGTCTGATGCATTTATCACTTGTATGTTCCTGTGGATATAGTGTTCTGGTGAACAGTCAGCCTTCTCCCAGTTTACATGGTGGGGGGGACTGGGCATCGTGTCAGATGGACGCTATGTATCTGCTCTCTGCAAATATACTGGAGCCACGTGGGAATAAAGTAAACTAAGCTAATTTATTGTTGCCTGATACCGTAGCTGAAGTGGGTGGTGACATCATGTCCCACACTCTTGTGAAATAGTGACCTTGGGAATGAGAAGGGTGTCTGACCTCATATCTCTCAGGGGTGGGGCTTTGTGGGTTGGGGACATGAAGGAGATTAAGCCATCCGGGCAGAGAGAGGGCAATGCAGTCCTGTCTTCTTAGCCTTGAGAGATTAAAATCCTGTTTCTCTGCCTGCTGGGGGGTAATACTTCTTCATCAGCCTCCCCCGAGCAGTACCAGTTTTCAGCTGATGTTTTCAGAATACGAGATTCTGTCATGCAGTGTAGGTGTTTGCGGCGTTCTCCCTCATTGTTCTTCCATGTGCAAGTGCCCTCCTAAAAGAGCTGAATCCTCGATCGCCGAAGTGCTTAATGCCTGATCTTCTTTTCCTCATTGTTTCGCAGAGTGGGTAAATCCATCCTAACGTGATTTTTGTTTTTGAATGTGGGAAATTTTAGCTCAGAGCTACCCTTTGAGAAGGTTGCACTGCAAACTGTGACTTGCACACCTACTGTGAAAATAAAGGTACTTATTTAATTCGTGTAGTCACATCCAGGCGTGCGGAAGGAATACAAATGTGTCTTTGTGTTCCTGGCGCTGCTAGTCTGGGCTCCTTTGTAGTATGGGGGCGACCGACGAGGAATCTGCGTGGTGCGTTGTGCTTGCTCACAAACCGACTCGCGTAGCCCGATGAAAGAAGTGCTGGGGAGGATGAGAGCCTAATTGCAGTCCCGGCATCAGCAGCGTCTCGGGAGCATCCTGGGAATTGCTTGCCCTGGGCTCAGAGCAGCTGATCACATGAGCCTGGATTTTCAGTTCAGTTCATTAGTCAGCCATTTTGGTCAACACCCTGCTTACTGCGCACAACCAATCCTGGCGGCACTCGCTGCCCTGGCTTCGCTGGGAAGAAAGGGGCCAGCAGTTTGATCTCTGCAAACCTGGATATCAGCCTCTACGTTCTTCCTTTGTTTTTGCTCGGGTAATCATCAGAGGAAGCCGTTCTTTTTCTTCTGCTTTTTTTTTGTTTTTTCCTTTTTATATTTTTTTTACCTTTTTTTTTTTTTCCTCCTTCTGTCTTTGATGCAGAAGCCAGGTTTTCTGTGGTTTCTCAGGATCAATAGCCTCTAGCATCGCTGAAGACAGCGACGGTGGAATAGAGGGAGGAAGAGACGAACGTGAAGGAGCAGCGTTTTTACCTTGCTTTATATATGAAAAGGCCAGACCAGTCTGTGCCATCCTAAGCATATCTGCCCTTTAATAGCAAGGTATTTCTTATTTTCTTTTTCAGAAAGCTTTTCTTTTTAGTTCTTATTTTTTTCCCCCCGTTGTTGTTGTACCAGCTGAGTCATCATGTCTGCTCTGACGCCTCAAAGCGACATGCCAACCCCCACCACAGACAAGATCACTCAGGCTGCCATGGAGACCATCTATCTTTGCAAATTCCGAGTGTCGATGGATGGAGAGTGGCTCTGCTTGCGCGAGCTGGACGACATCTCGCTGACACCCGACCCAGAGCCTACCCATGAAGGTACGGTCCTGTTCCCCGCCTCGGGATCCCTGCAGCCGTCGCAGTGTTACAACCGCTGCACAAGTTGGGAGGGGGTGTCTCCAGGATGAGGTGCTCTTGTCCTGCCTGGAGAAACCTGGACCCTGTTTGACATAAAAGAAAGCCAAATCGGTGCTTCACATTGCCCTAAGGGTTTGTTGCGACTTTTTGTAATCCTCTGCTTTGGGAGAGACAGATTTGTGTTTAATTGGTATTATTTATTTTTTTTAAGATGTCTCTAGAAAGATCAGGTTTGTCTCAGGAAGGAAGATAACCATGATGTGTGCTCGGCAATACATTTAATCATGATTTTACTCTTAAAAGAGGGCTTATAGGTCTGCTTTTACCGATGGGGTGTACTGGCACAGCACAGACGTGTCTGTGTACACTCAGTGAGTAGTTTTTGGAAAGCCCCAAATGATTATGCAGTTCGGCCTATTGTCAGGTGATAACACCATCACAAGTCTTTTGGTGAGTGTGCTCCTGTTCATTATGGCTTGAAAGCCTGAAAAGTGGAGGTGTCACGTGTCTTGCTTTCTTGTTGAGAAAGAATTTGTCATCCGGGTTGATGGTGAATACAGTTTAATACCAGGTCACGTAAAATGAGGATTGAAAGCTTTGTGGGTACTGAAAACACATGAGGACATCACGTGTTGCTCTACCAGTAAAAACGCGGGGAAGAAGATGCGCTGAATTCCTGCAGGGATTTTGCACAGTAACCACTGCTCCCGTGGTCGCCAGCGTTGCCGGGCTCAGAGTGTCCCTTGCTGGGTGCTGAGTAGCTTTCGGTAGAACAGCAAAGGGGCTCCATCTTTTCGTGCCTGACCCCTTTCCAGTAACTACTGAAGTACGACTCCACCAAGTCGGCTCGCTTGACCTGTCTGATGCTGGCTTGTCAAGTCAGCGATGTCTTACTAGATTGTTGTCTTGCTGGATGAGACAACTTAACTTGTGGTGAACTTAGAAATTAATTCTCAGATGATAATTTAATTTCCATTCGGCAGCTGCTTTTGATGTTGGCAGCCCTTGGGTTCGGATTTGCCTGCCAAATACTGAGTAACACAGTGGAATTCTCGGCTCCCTCGGAAGCATGGCCTGGGGTTTCAGAGAGGTGCTGTAGAAAAGCAGAACCAGAGCAGTAAGTACAGGGTGAGCCAAGAATGCGCTAATTCAGCTGACTTCCAATTCCCACATTCTTGTACATGGCACAGGCTTGTTCAGACTTTGCTTGCATGTTTTTAGGCTTCACTATTTTGTGGTGGTGTTGTTTTTCAACAGTGTGTTCTAGTGTAGGTGGATTGACTTTTGTATTTTTTGTCTACTGTTATGTTGTACTCGGCAAAGTACCTTTCAAGCAATCTAGGGCCGTTCACACAGTATAGCCAGGGAAACCTTTCAGTCACACTGGGAGTCAGTTCTTTAGATCCTTATTTTCCTATATATCTCTTTCTTCCTCTCCTTGCTCTGAGCAAACTCACGGGCAAGTCTTGGATGAACCCAGTGTCTGTAATACGGCATTGCTGGGTTGCCTTTCTGAAATATGCTGATTATGCATCCTTACAGTGTACATATTCCACTCTTGCCTGCCTGTATAACCTATTGTGACACTAATACTAGACTAATCCTCCTGCAAAACTACAGAAGTAATTATTTTTAAAGCTGTAATTACAGTCACTCTTTTGCAAGTACCAGAAAGGCATAGAGGATAGCAATTCCTCTTTTTGTTGCCTTGTTATTTAATTCCTATGTCCCAAATGAATAACAAAATAGACCTATATCATAATGACCTTTATGGAGATGTGTGTGCATTCCGAAGTTAGGGTTGCTTGTTGACAGGCAGAAAGGCTGACTGTTTTGGGGGGAGTGTTTTGGGACCCAGGTCATATTGTTACCAGAGATACAAGGTCAGGGGAAAGTGTTTGTAACGGAAAAGCTGACACAGTTTTACTTGTAGCGTTTGAGGTGATGCTACTGCCTCAGCACTGCTGCTGTGCCCTTGGTGTGTGCCTGTTGGGGGGGGGACAGGGTGACGGGGCTTGCGGGCACCGAGTGCTTCTCTGGGAAAAAAAGCAGGAAATCTAGGAGCCGAGACTGACGGATCTTGTAATATCTCCATAGAACGGGTGTAGAAAGGTAGAGATTATGAAGATGATGGGAGAAAAAAAAGCGGCTCTAGAATTCCCTACAAGGCGCAACAAAAGGTTGCAGTTTGTGCCTTACAAATCAAGATGTGTAAAACATCATATATTGCAGTGGCAAGTCCAACAGCTGGCTCAAATGAGAATTTGAAGCCTCCAGTTGCTGTTCCTCAGCTCTTGGAACTGCCTGAGAGCACTCTGGAGTCTCTTTGCTTGATCTGAGGTGCCCCAGCCCACAAGCAGCCATCCTGCCTTCCTCTTCCTCACTCTACGTCCACAGGGCTGAAGATGACCAGCAACTGTGCTCCTGGCCTTGCGTGCAGGTGTCTGCACCCATCCCTGCTTCCATCCCGGAACTGGCCCACGGAGTCATAGTGAGAAGAGGAAGAGAGAGGTTCTGGGCAGCAAGGAAGTAAAAAGACCAGGCCAAGGTCAGCACCAGAAGAGCACGCAGCATGGGGAAGGCTGAAAATGCAATGCAGAAACAAGGTTTTAGTTTGGAGAATTTTGACTGCCATGTGCTTCGGCTGGGCTGCTTTTGTGCAACGCTCTGGGATGACTCAGTTTTTAAATTGTTTTGGAGAGTAGCAATTTTTAGCTGCTTCTGCTTCCCAACTCTTTCACCTCAGTTGTCTTATAGGCCTTAGGCTTTCAAGCTTTCTTCATACTGTTGGCTGTGGTGCAAGTTTCTGGCTGACTGGTTTTAAAGAACTTTTTTTCATGTAGGTGTACCAGAGCTGCAGTGTATTATTTTCCTTCCCATGTAAGTAGCTGGTTAATAGCGATTAGTTTTATTATATCTTCTTTGTTGATTTTTCTAAAGAAAAAAAAGGCACATTGCTTAGAAATGACAATATTGGATGAGGCTCAAGTAAGTGACTCTTACCTGCTCTGGTTGGATACCCCTTCCCGGAACACTATTTTAATTCCAGTGAGAGAGAGAGGCATCAGAAGATGAGTTTCAGTGGTGCCGGTTTGTAGAACTGGGATGTTAGGGGCACCTGGAGGCAGAGTGCCCCGCTTCGTGGTTGTGCTCCAAGGGCTCCCTGAGCAGAGAGACAGAAACTGCAGCTGTTGCTTATTTTTTACTGTGGCCAGACCTTTTCCTCAAGATCTTTTTTTGCCGTAGCCTTCTCTGCAGTAATCCCACTAGAGGCCAATTTTGTGATGGGAATTGGAGGTTCAGGGAGGGAGCTAATAATGTAAGGGCATAGCGGTAATCACAGCCTTGCTGAGGTTTAAAAACAACGAGCATCCTCCTGTAGTGGTGATGTTTTCTAATAAAACCAAGCCCAGTTCTCCTAGTTCCTAAGACAAAGGCGATATATACTTCAGGCAAGAGATTCTGGTCTGAGAGGAAACGGTGTAAATTTGGAGTGGTTCTATTCCTGCCCCAGAGTTGCAGATTGTAACTCTGAGCAAAACTTGATTTATATTCAATTCAAGTAGCGTATAGCAGAAGGGTAAATGTATTAGTGTAGTTACTGAGTTTCTTGCAAATGTGTGTATTCGCTATAGCACGTAACATTTATTTTAACAATTCACTACAGCATGTAACATTCGTTTTAACAATAAAAGTAATTAATTTTCTTTTTCAACTGTTTGGAACAATGTGTTCCAAAACATATGAAAATAAACTGATTTTGCTATATACTGTTAATATGCCCGGTGTAGAAAAAACATATTTTTTTTTTAAACAAACAGTGAGTCATAATACGATAATTAGAACAATACTGTGCTCTGAAAGGTGGCACTAGCGGTTATTAAGCTTTTGTTTGTATGAAATACGTGCAGTGATCCCTGAGGCATCTTCAGGTGTGAGAAACATCTTGATTCTGCTGCTTTTGCACGTTGAACAGTGCGTGTGTTTATGGGATCCAGCACCGAGCTCGACATTTGGGTGAAGTTACGAAATGCCAAACGGCCTTGCATATATTCACTGGATGTTAAACTTCTGCGTGGAATAATCATGAGAAGCTTTATGTTAGAGCAATGGAAATTTTAATCCTCATGGGATCAGCCGGTAATTGAGAACAGAAGGAATACACGTGATAACAGTATGATCTGAATTTACGTGCAAAAGAATTACAGCATCTGTTTTTAATCAGTCCTGTTCTATTTGCTCTAAAATGGGGAGTTGGAGTGATATGTTCCTAATAGGCCAAGATGAATTGATCTTTTGCATAGTATATTTTTTGATAAATAAAGATCAGATTTTTTTTTTTCCCCTTGATTTTTGACCAGGAATTTAAAAATTTTGGTTTCACGTGTATGCTTGTTTAAAATGCCCGGAGTACAAGTTGTACAGATCTTAAGAAAAAACCAACGCCTTCTCAGTGCGTAAATACATCTTGCCCATTAACTGATAGTGCTGCCAACTGAATCATCCTTTAGATTTTACATTTTTGCTTCGTTTTCCTCTTCAAGTAGTTTTTCCATCTGTCTTTTGCACCCTTCAAAACAGTTTCAGGAAGCAGCATGACCTTATCAGTTATATTTTTGATTTGTAAATTGTCAACTGCCTGGAGACCAGATTTCATAGAACAAATGTGAAGTCAATAACGTGCAAGATAAAGGAATTACAGTGTGTTCATGGTCGTGTCATCCAGACAGCACGTACTGAAAAGTAACGTGATAAAGATGATCACCTCCCCTTGCACGAGCTGTGATAACCAAACCAAAGGGGAGGGAAGATGGAGTTTTAAAATGTTCCTCAGGACAAGGGGTACAATGTGCCAGCCCTCCAGCATATTTGGAACAATTCGGAGAAGAAGCGAGTGAATTGTATCCTCTGCAAGGCCAGGGCAAGACCTGCATCAGAGTTCCTCTAATTCTGGTTTAAGT